CCCATCAACCAATCAACCCACTCACCCACCCAATCAACCAACCAACCAACCCATCAACCAATCATCCCACCCACCTACCCATCAACCAACCCATTCACCCACCCAATCAACCAACCAACCCATCAACCAATCACCCCACCCACCTACCCATGAACTAGCCAACCAACCCACTCACTCACTCATCCATTCATCCACAATCAATCACGCCACCTACCTACCCATCAACCAATCAACCCACTCACTCACCCACCCACCCAATCAACCAACCAACCAACCCATCAACCAACCCACTCACCTACCCAACCAACCAACCCACCAACCCATCAACCAATCACCCCACCCACCTACCCATCAACCAACCCACTCATGCACCCAATCAACCAACCAACCAACCCACATCCAGCCACCCAATCAATCAACCCAGCAAACCATCAATCAAACAACTCACCCATCAATCAACAAACCATCAATCATTCAATCAGCTAATCAGAACAACTGGAAGGAACCTTGGAGGTCTTCTGGTCCAAACTCTGGAGGCGGCGGCTGTAGAAGCTCCGAAGGCGACGAATTATCCCAGGGTGCCTCCCTGCTCTTCTCCCGGGGATCCCCGAGTCGATCTCCGCCCAAATCGGTCGCCAACAAGGCGTCCGCCGGGTCCCCGCAGAGGCGACAGCAGCCAGAGCGGCCGTTGCGACCCGAAAGACGCCCTGGTTGCGGGAGGACCTTCGTTCCTTCCGCTCTAGGAATTCCTTTCCGTGCTTTTAACTCTGTCCAGGTCTGCAGCGTCGGGTGGGAGCCCCCTCGGCGGAATGCTGAGCCCGATACTCTGGGGGGCGCCAGGACAAGGAGAGGGCGCGAGGAGTTCCGTTTGCCAAAGAAAGAAAGTGGGATCCGTTTAACGACCGAGGAAGAGCTCGGAATTATGGCGAAGAAGGCAGAGGCTGCCGGCCCCCCCATTGCACGATGATGATGATGATGAGGAGGAGGAGCCATTAAGGCAGGGGTCTTCAAATTTGACAGCTTTAAGACTTGTGAACTTCAACTCCCAGAATTCCTCTTCCAGTCATGTTAGTTCAGGAATTCTGGGAGTTGAAGTCCACAAGTCTTAAAATTGCAAAGTTTGAAGTCCCCTTGCATTAAGTTTTTTTTTTGTCCCTCCACCATCTGACAAGCTCATAGCTTCCTTTTGGGGGGTGAGTGGGTGGGGTGGAGATGGATAGCTGCTGCAAGAGGAAGTGATACCTGGGATGGGAGGGGAGGAGAAATGGGGGGGGCAGGGAGATATTTTTACAAGTGGGACACAGCAAGTGGGGCCTGGCTAGCCTAGTGAAGAGAAGGACCAGGGGTGACATGATAGCAATCTTCCAATATCTCAGGGGCTGCCCCAAAGAAGAGGGAGTCAAGCTATTCTCCAAAGCCCCTGCGGGCAGTTGTTCCATGGATTAATTGGGTGCAATGGGTGGAAACTTATCAAGGAAAAAAGCAACTTGGAATTAAGGAGAAACTTCCTAATAGAACAATTAATCCAGTTGTGAACGGTCCAACTTTGGAAGTTTTAAAGAAGAGATTGGACATTTGTCTGAAATGGTATAGGCTTTTCTGCCTAAGCAGGGGGTTGGACTAGAAGACCTCCAAAGTCCCTTCCGTTTATTCTATTCTGTTGTGTTCTATCCTTCCCTATCGCTATCCCTAGTCCATTCTGTTCTCGAGAAGGATTAGGGTGACATGATCACAGTGTTCCAATACTTGAGGGGCTGTCACAGAGAAGAGGGGGACAACCTATTTTCCAAGGCCAGACAAGAAGAAGCTTCTTGGGTGAGAAGCCAAAATGTCTTCAAAGAAAAGCCAGAAAGTCCAGTTGCCTCTTGAAAAAAGCACTTTTCCGACAATCCAGTTGCCACTTGAAAAAAGCACCTTGTGGACAATCCAGTTGCCTCTTGAAAAAGCACCTGAGACAATACAAGCAGTAAATCTTACAGATTCCCCCACCTCCAGCCTTTTTGAAAGCTCAGGAAATTAAAGTTTGTATTTACGCTCGTTAGGGAGGAAGAGAATACCAGGAAATAAATAGACACGCCTGTGGGGAGTTCACATTGAGAGGGTTTGAACAGCGCTTGGGGCTGTGACTTGCACACCAGCTGTTAATTTATCAAAGTCAAGCCAGGGATCTTATGAATATCAGGGAGTAGCGCAAGCCAGGTGCCAGAAGCCACTAATGAACTAATTATGGTTGGGTAATGGATAACCTTATTAGGGAAGCACCAGACCTGGAGGGGGGAGGGAGTTGCTGAGGATTAGGGTTAGGGCCTCACTGCTTTCCAAAGAGGGGGAAAGTGTGAAGGGGCGGAAGGAGCAGGAACCATGTCAGCATTGTGTTCTACGGACTATTCTTAGATAAAACATCCTACCTTTTGCTTAACTCAAGCATTGTCTGCAAAGACAGCAAGCTTTTGCCTGTTCCCAGTATTTTACCATTCTGTGCTGAGATTGTGGAGATGAGAAGACAGATTTGAGTTGATTATACACTGAAATCTATCTATCTATCTATCTATCTATCTATCTATCTATCTATCTATC